CATCTCCTCTCCCCCTGTTCATGCCTTCTGCGCACCGCCCCACACAGCATGGGGATGCAGGGATCTGGGCGTAGATCACCTGTTGCTGGGACTATGCGCATGGAGTGCGCGCTTGCGCCCTTGCCCACCGTGAACTCATGTTGTTTGACACCGCTGTGCTCATACGGCATTCAACTGCCATTGATACCCTTCTTCACTATGAGCGCTTAGCTTATGGGGTATCAGATGCGTGGGGCCGACGGCAATTTGATAACGTATTTGCCAAACTACGTGCCATGGGAATTGGGTCCCCCAGGCGGGTCAACACCAGACCGCTCCCCATACTAGAGCTCGAAGACGGCGCTGTGGCTGCCACCCCCGCGGAGGCTGCGGACCGCTGGCTTCGCCATTTCGCCGCCGAGGAGTTCGGAGTGGTGGTGCCTGTGCCCGACGTCTCCCCACTCTCGCTCCCGACCTGACTCACAACATCGGTTGCAGTGAAGTCTTCCAGCCTACGTTAACGGACTACCAGCAAGCCTGCCGTTCGGCCAAGGCCTCTGCCGCCAGCCTGGATGGTATACCTGGTGCTATGCTACGACTGTTCGCTCCCGACATGGGTCGCCTCTTCTACCCATTGGTTGACGAAGCCTGTCACTGCGTAGAGGAGTCCATGCAGTGGAAAGGTGGTAACTACTGGAGCATCTGGAAAAAGAAAGCAACCCCAGCAGTGCGCAAGAACCACCAGTTTGCGACGTTAATCTCCCAAGTGTGAAAGAAACATCGGCAACTTCTTCGCACCCAACTGGCTGACACCTCACCCGGCACTGCAGGTGCAGTCAGAGGCGTGGGCTTCGCGGCGTTGGCGCTTCGCTCCTCTGAGGAGCTTGCTTCTGCAGCCAAGCTCTCGGCGCTCTAATGCATGCTCGACGCCATTTCGGCCTTCTACCGTGCCATCGAGGAGCTAGTCGTGCACATGGGAACGTCCGACGCTGACCTCTGGCTCATACTGCAGACAGCAGGGCTCCCGGAAGGAGCCATCGATGATCTCAAACACCACATTGCTATCCATCCAACTCTTCTGGAATCTACAGGGGCATCTAGGCCTGTCAGGGCCCTGACGGCCTCCAGCTACTCGGGCAGTTGTTTTTGGCATCCTGGGGCCTCCGCTATCGCGTTGTCACTGGAGGGCGCGGTACCAAGGCAGCAATTTGGGGATGCCGTCTTCAATTTTGTCATGGCAGCCAGGGCGCAGGAGGCGCAACAGCGTCTGCGTTAGCTTGAGCTCGACATGCGCATCCCCGTCGCTTTGCATGCCAGCCTCTCCGATATGATGCAGCAGGCCCCTGATACGATCTGAAGGGGACTGGAATATGCTTCTTCGATGATGGTGCCATTGTTGTCATCGGCCCGGCCTCCACCCTCTTCTGGGCGGCTCCGGAGGTTGCAGAGGTAGTAGCAACCAGCTGCGTGCGCCGCGGGTTTCGCCTAAATTTCGCCTCGGGCAAGACGGAGGCATTTTTCCAGTTGCGAGGCGTAGGCGCCAAGCTCGCCAAGCTTGAGCTCTGCGGGGAGCGACAGGGCGGCTTTACTGTTCGATCCGACTTGCTGGTCGAGTTCACACTACATGCGGTACGCACATACCCACACCTCGGCACTCAGTTAGATGAACTAGGGTCCGTCGGGCCCGAGTTGGCCCATAGAGAGGACTCGGTGGGGACGTCTCGGCAACTCCTCCTCAAACGCATCTTTGGACCCCCTGCTTGCCTCCCACAGACGGATATACGGCACATCGCCGATGCGTTAATCTTCTCGGGGCTCATATTCAACTCGGGGATCTGGCCAACTCTCACCGACGCTGAACACGCGCAAATGCAGTACATCATGGTCAATGAGTATCGCCAGCTACTACATATCCCACAGCACGACTCCGACGCCGAGCCAGACCGACTGATACTAGCTAAAATGGAGCGTGCGGACCTTCGAGCGGTCTTGCGCGCCCATATCCTCAGACAGCTGGGCCGCCTACTACGCCGCGGCACGCCTTCGTTACGCAGCTTAGTGGCCCATGTGTATCGCGCGACGCACGCAATCAGGACGTGTTGGCTGCACAAAATATTGGATGACTTGCTATGGCTCAGAAAGACCCACCATCAGATGTGAAGTCTGCCAGGGCCTGCTGTTGACTTCGTCTCCTGGGAAGAGCACATCTTAAGATCGTTGCCAGCCTGGAAGGATGCCACCAAAACTGCTCGCACTGCCCATGAACAAGCTGCCGCCCGAGTCGCTCTCGCTCAGAAGGCGCACAAGGCCTTTTTCGAGCTGGTGCGTCCGACAGGAATGCCTGTGCCTATCACCGACGCCAGTCAACCCATCTACCCTCCTAAAAGCACAACGTGGAGCTCCGATGCATGTGGTGTTCGTATGTAGGCAGCACGGCCAAGGGTACACAACAGCATATCCTGCGCACACACTGCAGTCAGATATACCTGGTGTCTCGTTTCATGGGGGAGGGTATGCGTGCATGTCGTGATCCAACTCCTTCTCCTCTCGCCGGCTTTTGCAACATCATCTGGCCTTCGATGCCGCCCTGTGCCAGCTCGCTTACTTGATGCATGGGGCTGTGCTGCCGCCAGAGAGATCAGAAGAGCTGCGCATAGCGGATGCATGCCAGCGAGCTGTACAGAGACGCGCAGCACTGGGGAGATGGCGTGCAGCTTTCCCTGCATCAGTGCAGTATCCTGAAGATGGCCTCTACCCCTCAGCGACGCTCGCCCTGGCCCTCTTCAGTTAAGCAAAGGCCCGCACACTTCTTCGGGAATATGCATATGGCGGATTCCAGAAATCCTGAACCCAAAAACGTTTTCATCTCTTGGGGACGCATCTTTCACTTCCGCCGCCTTCCGCCGGCCTTCCGCCGCCTTCCGCCGGCCTTTCGCCACCTTCCGCCGAGGAAGAGATGACAACTCCTTCTATCCTCGAAGGTGAGGCCCTGTTTTGGAACGCTCCATATGAGTTGGCTCCAGAGACTCTCCTAGAACATCAGGCGCTCTTCGGGGACCCTCCAAACCCCGCCGTCCAGGACCAACCTCTCTTCGCCGACCGATATTTCCGGTATGGGACCCACGATTTCAGTTCTTGTGCTGCGGAGTGTTAGGAGGCAACTACTGGGAAGTCCTCGTCAGAAAAATCAGAAAAGATTTTAGCCCCACTGGGGGCTGTTGCGCAGGGTTGGGCCGCGGATTCAGCGGGATGAAGCGGTACTAGGCGGGATTACACCGAATTCAGCGGGATGAAACCGGATTAAGCTGGATTTCGGACCAGGGCAAAGTCAGAATATGACCTCCCAGGAGTTGCATCCGAAGGAGTGGATGCCATGCAAGATACAGTGGAAGGAGATAGTCGTGCTCAATCTTTTCTCGGGCCGACGACGGGCAAGTGGCACCCAATCTTGGATAGATGGCGAGCACCTCCGGCCCCACTACCACATATTTATGCTGTGTCGACGTCGTCATAGATCTGGATGTGGGGGAACTTATGCGCACACATACTATACGACAGCGGGGGGAGCACAGCCTGTCCAGACGGGTTTGGGACACAGGAGGGGGGGCTCTCTGCGAGACCTGGCGTGCCGCGAGATGGCTGGATGGCCCCCTCCCCCCAATACGCACAGACGACTGGTATTCGGGCGTCCCGTGGGCTACCGACCGCCAGGCATTGCAGCTACACGTAGGAGGCACACTGCTCCAGCACTTGGTGTGTCTCTTGGGATGCCATGTGGTCGCGGGGACCTCGGGGTGGATGAAGCACCTGCTACCGGCCCACTGAAGGCCCCTAGAGCACCCAGCAGCTTTCAATGGAAGCCCCTGGACGCCCTGGCGTCATCGCCTGTCGTCGTCACCAAGGACTTTGACCAGTGTGCGCTGCAACCGCAAGGGCGCGACCCATCAGAGTACCGGCGTGCGCACACTCGACTGCTGGGACTGCGCGTGGAGTGCCTCGCGTCTCGCCCTACAGATGTGCCGCGAAAAGGTTGGTGCCACCGCCCCAAAGGAACCCACAAGTTCCCCATCGGAACAAACCGTCTGGAGGGGGCCGTACCGTTTCCAAGACTACTGCGAAGAAGACACATCCAGCTGCCATGTGTGCCCAGTTGGCATCATCCATTTTTGCCTCCACCGCTCGGATGTATGCTGGTGTGTGTGTGTGTGATGCCGACCACTGCCTGAATGATCACCCAGAACTGGTCGCTGAGATCACGAAGTTCTACATTACGCATGTGGATCAAAATTTCGCTCCAACACCGGATTTCTCTGTAGGGGGACGGAGAGGACACATCATCAGAGCCGATTCCGAACGACATCGTTTCCCGAAGGACCCCGATTTAGCTCCAACGTCTGTATGTGCTCAGTCCGATTGTATCCTTGTGATCCAAACCCAGAAGGCGTGGCTCGACTGGCGGCTTGTGGGTGTGATCCGACTCCTGCTCCTGAGTTGCTCCCTGGGCCCTGCGAATGCGCGCCTAAGCCACCTGGACCGGATGAGAAGTTTGAGGCAGAGGATTTTCTTGGACCTCCTCCCCTCCTCTCCTCCCCTCCGCCCCCCCCCTCACGGACGTGCACCTGGCCCTCATCGCAGCCGAGCGCGCCGAGGCCCGCCTGCGCCGCGAGGCCAAGATGACCGAAGCGCGCAGGCGGCGTGCGGAGTGGGTCGGCTCCCTCTCCTTCGCCAGCTGTTTCGAGGCTGCACCCCCCCTGCTGGCCGCCCCCCCCCCTCTTACAGGCCTGAAGGGGTAGACGGCGGCACGACGACGAGAGCTCGCGGGACATCCGCCTCGCCTGCGTCCCACCACCTCGTCCTCGTCCTCGTCCTCGTCGTCGTCCTCCTTCTCGTCGTCGTCCTCCTTGTCGTCGTCCTTCCTCCTCCTTCTCCTCGTCGTCCTCCTTATCGTTGTCCTTCTTCCTCCTCCTTCTCCTCACCGTCCTCCTCATAGTCGTCCTCGTCGTCCTGCCCGTGCTGCGCGCCTGCGCCCTGCCGAGCAGCCGGGGCAGCGGCGGCGTGGCCCCGCGGGGCTCGGGGGCCTCGCGAGGCGGCGCCCTACCGGGGGCCGCGGCGCCCAGCAGGGGCGGCTCGTCGAGGGCCGGGCCCGCAGGCTCGGCCTCTGGGCCTGTACGGTGCCCCCAAAATATCCACCACCACCACCACCACCACCACCACCACCACCACCACCACCACCACCACCACCACCACCACCACCACCACCACCACCACCACCACCACCACCACCACCACCACCACCACCACCACCACCACCACCACCACCACCACCACACACCACCACCACCACCACCCACCACCACCACCACCACCACCACCACCACCACCACCACCACCACCACCACCACCACCACCACCACCACCACCACCACCACCACCACCACCACCACCACCACCACCACCACCACCACCACCACCACCACCACCACCACCACCACCACCCTCATCCCCTCCTCCCTCATCCCCTCCCTCTCCCAGGAAAGAGGAGAAGAAGAGGAATCAACGTGGTGGTGTAGATTCTCGGGTGCCGCAGCCTGGGCATTGCGCCGGGCGCCTCGGCTCGGGAGGCGTGCGCGTCAGCGCGGCAGCAGCTGCGGCGCCCAGCAACGGCTCGTCGATGGCTGGGCCCACGGGCTCGGCTGCCGGGCCCAGGCACTGCGCCAGGCGCCTCGGCTCGGGAGGCGTGCACGTCAGCGCGGCAGCAGCTGCGGCGCCCGGCAGCGGCTCGTCGATGGCTGGGCCCACGGGCTCAGCTGCCGGGCCCAGGCACTGCGCCAGGCGCCTCGACTCCGAAGGTGTGCGCGGCGGCGCGGCAACAGCTGCGGCGCACGGCAGCGGCTCGTCGATGGCCGGGCCCGCGGGCTCGGCCTCCGGGCGTGAGCGTTGAGCTGGGCTCTTCGGCTTGGGAATCGTGCGTGGCGGCGCGGCCGCTGCGGGAGGCGGCTCGTCGAGAGCGAGGCCTGCGCGCTCGGCCTTCGCCCTCGCCGCAGCCGCGGGTGGCTCTGCCTCCCGCGGCCCTTGTGATGGAGGGCCGCTGGGGAGGCCTTGCGAGGCCTCCGCGCTGGCGCGGCCGCTCCGCGGAGGCCTGTCGGGGCGGAGCGGGAAGTTCGGAGGTATGGTCCTCAGGAAGCGCGCCGCGGAATCCCGGCCGTTGGGGCCTGCCGGCTGCCCCGCGCCCTGGCCGCGCGGTTCCTCGGCGGCACTCGCGAGCCCCGCCGCCTTCAGGATCGGCCGGCGTCGCTCCTCCGCGCCGTGGGTCCCCCTCGTGCACCGATCGCGGTGGCGCCACTCCTCCACGCCGTGGATCTCCCTCAGGCGTGCCTCGTAGATGCCATCCCGTCCGGCGGCGGCGCCGAGCGCAGAGGCAACGCCCGAGTGCCCAAGCGCCGGCTGGTGCTCCACGGGCATGCCCATGCGGGTTGTCGGCCTGGGCGCGCCGCCCTGGCCGCGTCCCTCCTCGGGGCCGCGGCGGCCACCTGTCGGCGCCCAGTGGTGATCGGCAGTCCCGCCGCCGCCGTCGTCCAGCCCGAGGCCACCTGCGCCGACGCCGAACGACGGCGTCCGCCGCGGCCCGCCAAGGCTCCCCGCCGCAGGGCTGCCCGCCGTAGGGCTGCCCCCCGAGGCCGCAGGGCTGCCCGCCGCGCGCAACGCCGACAGGGAACGCGCGCGGCTGGCGGACCGCGAGCGGCCCTCGAGCGCCAGCGCCGAGGGGTCCCGCGGCAGGCCGTCGGCGAAGCTGCCGAGGGCCTCTGGCAGGCCCTCGGCGGGGCCTGGCAGCGGCGCCCCTGCGCGCGCCGAGCGAGCGAGGTGCAAGGCGGACACGAACTGGCCGAAGGAGCAGGTGCCTTGGCCCGCAAAACAGGGGGAGGCGACGACGGCGACGATGCCCCTGCTGCTGCTGCTGCTGCTGCTGCTGCTGCTGATGTTGCTGCTGCTGCTGCTGCTGCTGCTGCTGCTCCTCCTCCTCCTCCTCCTCCTCCGCCTCCTCCTCCTCCTCATCCTCCCCCTCCTCCTCCATCTCCTCCTCCTCCTTTTCCTCGTCTTCCTCCTCCTTCACCTCCTCCTCCCCCCCTCCTCCCCTCGTCTTCGCCTCCTCCTCTCCTCCACCTCCAGTGGTTTCCTCAGTCTCCTGCTCCTGCAAGGTCGTCTGCCGCTCGCGCGGTACGCGCTATCTTCTTCACGCTTCTCGCCGCGCGAAAACCGTCGCGGTGCTACGGCTGGTTTGTGCCGTGACGACTTGTTCGTTCGTTGGTTCGTGACGCTGCATGGGCCGTTCAATCTTGAATGATCGCAACACTCCGATAGCGTAGATCGTCCGATATCAACCGATTCTGCGCCCAGGCGGCGTTCAACCTCGATCGCCCGCGTTGGGGTCGCAGCAGCGCTCACGCGGCGCGTTCCTGCCATGCCTTTGAAGGGCGGCTGTCTTCGCGCACCGTTGGCAGTTTCTGCCACGATCGGCGGCTTCATAAGTCTGCATCGCGGTGGCGCTCAGCAGTTATGCCACCCAAGAAGGGAGGACGGTACCCAATCGACGTCTGGGGAGGCCGCGGCCGAACGCCCCCAAGCTGAATCACCAATCAGCCGCGTCAACCGACGCAGGGCCGAATCGCCAATCCGCCACGTCGACCGACGCAGGCGGTTGGCGCAACAGGGCGCCGACCGAAGCAAATGGGTACCAGACCCCGCCCGAGGGTGGTGGGTGGGAGAAAGAAACAGCGACCGAGGTCGCGCCCGAAACACAATGGCGAACGGAAACGGACGCGACGCTCCTCGCCCTCCCCCCCAGAGGTAGACCAAAGCCGCGCAATTGCAGGCAGAGGGCGACGCTCTGGCAGGGCGCCCTGGCCCCAGAAAACCACCATGGGCAAGTAGGGCGCGGCAGACACGGCTGGGCACTTGATACCCCGCCCCGCGGCCAGGCGGCAGAAAAGGAACCATTGCGACCGTGCACGGAGAGGGGGCGATCCAGAGAAGACCCGACTCACGGCCGCGCGGCACGCCAGCGAGCCCGCGCAGGAGCCTGGCCCGCCCGACGGAGCGGCGGAGCGCGGCGGGTGGTCATGCAGCCGCCCGCAGTCGCGCGTTGCGACGCCAGCCAGCGGGGCATTCCCCCCTCTTCCGTCGACTTATGATTTGCAATTCGCCAGTCCAACGGGCCAAGGGCGTGCGAAGATCTCCGGTAACTGGCTAACAATAATCTAGTTCGCGCGCGAGGGGCCGCCCCTGGGGGTCCCCGGACGAAAAATACCCCGGGACATCCCCGGGACACCCCCGGAACACTTGGATCAGAGATGCCAGACTGGGCAATTTTTCGACACCCCTCACGAGGATCGTGGCCTCCGAGGGGAGGGGCGCAATCGACTACCCCCCCTCCTGACCCAAGAGGTCCCCAAGACTGCCCAAAAGGCCCCCGAGACGCCGAAAGAGCGCTCCAAGACGCCGATGATGACCCCAAGCCGGTTCAAGAGGCCTCCAAGTGGCCTCCAAGAGGCCTCACAAGAGGGCCCGAGAGGCCGAAATCATCAATTTTACAATGGTTTTGGAAGGATTTTGGCCTTGTCGCCTTTTCGGCCATCCAATGCTCCAAGACGGCCCAAGAGGCCCCAAGAGCGCCGCAAGACGGGCCAAGAGGCTTCCAAGAGGCGCCCAAGACGGCCCGAGACGGCCCCAAGAGGGGCCCAACAGGGGGACCACGAACCGAAAACTCGAGCCTTCCACCCCAAGAGGGCCCCAGGAGGCCCCGAGAGGCCCCCAAGAGGCCCCCAAGAGGCCCCAAGAGGCTGCCAAGAGGCCCCCAAGAGGCCCCAGGAGGCCCCCAGGAGGCCCAAAAGAGGCCCCAGAAGTTCAAAAATGCCTCCCAGGCGCCCCCGAACGGCTTCTCAAAAGACCCCAAGAGGCCTCCCAAAGAAGTATCTTGACGACGACCCTGTTTTTGGCTCCACGAGCAACACAAGATGCCAACGAGAGGCTTCCTCCTCCGCCCCTTCCCCTTCCCCTTCCTCCTCCTCCTCCTCCTCCTCCTCCTCCTCCTCCTTCTCCTCCTACCTATCTTCATCCTCCTCCTCCTCTCCTTCTCATTCTCTCCTCCTCCTCCCCTCCCCTTCCCCATCCTCATCTTCCTCCTCCTCCTCCTCGGCGGCGCCACAATGGCCCCAGGCCCACGGCGAAGCAGTAGCGATCATGCAACATGGGCCGGCGGAATGAGCGAAGCGATTGAATAACCAATTAGTGCTGCCCCAATATAATCAGACATTCTGGAACGGTTTCGGACGGTCTCGGCTAGCTCCAGACGCCTGGAGGATTTAATTGACTCCAGAGCTGGGCCATCCGCATATCTGCATCCTCTTACCTCTCACTCCTTCTATCCACTGCTCTTCTTGGATTATCTCAGCTCTACCTGCTTTCTGAGAGCTATGTCGTTGTCTTCTGAGCAGACTTCAAATTTGAAGATGTATGACACTTACATCGAATCTAAAGAAGATAATCCGAGACGGACAGGCTTAGCACAACATAGGCGCTACGAGACGTAAAAGGTCGCCAAGACAAGTACACACAGCCACCCAGCAAGGCGCGAAATGGGCAGACTTGCCGTCATGTATTTGAAGAAGGTTTATGACCATCGCCTCTACGGATGACGTGCCATCGCCTGTGATGGCAGCGAAGAGGGAGGCACAGCTTGGCACACAAGATCGGGATGCATTGGCACGTTCGAAGCGTGCGAACGCTGGGTGTGGCCGGTCGTCGGTCGGCATTTGCGACACCAGCGTCCGAGGTAATTGTGGAGAAAGTCGAGATCGTCCCTGTCACACTTGCCCTGCGCAGGAACGTGATGTGGGACGACATCCAAAAGGGTATCGCCGAAATCCAAGCATCGAACACCCAAACGACAAAAATGCACCGAGAACGGGAAGCACGTACGGAGTTGGAAGAACAACTCGTCGCCCTGGAAGGGAGACTCCAAAGCTACCAGAACCCGGACAGTGAGACCGGGAACATCGACAATAATGCGGATATTGTTGGTCTCAAAAAAAGTTTTGATGATCGGGGAGCCGATGCGGCAGAGCAGCTTGCCCAGTACGCCCTGGATGGAATGGACGGCTTTCAGGAGATTCGGTCCTTCAGCGAGAAGCCCGCCGTCGTGTTTGCCCGCTTCTCCGACATCGCCAAGTCCAGGAAGTTCCTGAAGACACAGAAGCGTCATCCTAAATTCAAAGAGGCGGGATTGCGGGCTAATCATCGGGACAGCCATCGGGTTAGCCATCGGGAATACCATCGGGACAACCATCGGGACGACCGTCGGGACAACCATCGGAACAATCATCGGGACAACCATCGGGACAGCCATCGGGCTAATCATTGGGACAACCATCGGGAAAGGCAGTGGGACAACCATCGGGACAACCATCGGGAAAATCATCGGAACAAATATCGGGACAACCATCGGGGCAACAATTGGGACAGCGATCGGGACGACCATCGGAAAATCCATCGGGACAAACATCGGGACAGCCATCGGGGCAACCATCAGAACAACCATCAAGATAATTATCGGGACAGCGATCGGGACGACCATTGGGACAACCATCGGGACAACCATCGTGACTTGCTCGACTTTGCTTCGCCTCGCCCGTACGCACGTCACGCACCACACGGGCCGAAACCGATTTCCCGATTGGGCGACTCTGCTTCAGTTTGATCTCACCTCCCAACCTCCGATACATGTGTACTACAGGACAAGTGTTATGATAAGAAATATGCTACAACACGCTGCCTTGAGCAAAAAGGATACGGATGACTCTGGTCACGATGCAGATGAAGCTCCTCCTCCCTTCCTCAATCTTCCTCTTCTCCTCGTCTTCCCCCTCCTCCTCCTCCTCCTCCCCCTCCTCCTCCTCCTCCTCCCCCTCCTCCTCCTCCTCCTCCTCCTCTCCTCCTCCTCCTCCTCCTCCTCCTCCTCCTCCTCCTCCTCCTCCTCCTCCTCCTCCTCATCCCCCTCCCGGAGTAGGCGCCGATGGGGCCCCCAGCGCCGCTCCAAGGCGACGGCAACCAGGGCCATAGCCCCGACACGACCACGGCCCCGACGGCCACCACGACGACGACGGCCATGACGGCGACGGTGACGGGCCACGACGGCGTCGGCGACGAAGGCCCTCCCGAGAGGCAGGCCGTCACGGCCGATGCCCGCCAGCGCCGCGACGCGCTCCAGGTCGCCCTCCGCGAGGCCCGCGCGCCCGAGAACGCCACGCACCTGCCTGGCCGCCAGGGCGCGCCGGCCGCCGCGGTCCACCTGCTGGCGGCGGTGGGGTCGACGCCGTCGCGGTCGTCGCTGCCGTCGTCGCCGTCGCCGTCGCCGTCGCTGCCGTCGTCGCGGTCGTCGTGGTCGTCGTGGTCGTCGTGGTCGTCGTGGTCGTCGTGGTCGTCGTCGTCGTCGTCGTCGTCGTCGTGGTGGTCGTCGATGCTGCTCTCTCTCTCTCTCTGTCCCTCTGCGCTCTGCCTCGCGCTCGCCCTCTCGTTTTATCAATCTCTCTCTCTCTCTCTGCCTGCTACCTCGCACTCGCCTTCTCGTTATGTCAGACGCTGTCTCTCTCTCTCTCTATTTCTCTCTCGCTCTCGCCTTTTCCCTCTCTAGCCGTGTCCCTCTCTCTTTCTCTCTCTCTCTCTCTCTTTCATTCCCCCTTCCTCCCCCTCCCTCCCTCCCCCCCCGTACCGTGGACGTACATGTGCGTGCGGACGCTTGCGCGCCCCTTCCCTTGATCGTGTGCGGGGGGCCAGCCGCCGCTGTGTCATTCGGGAGGCCTGCGTGCTGATGGTCGGACCGCCGCTGCCCCGCAGTATTTGACCGAGCTGGGCGGCCGATCGGGGGGGGTTCCTACGATCTCTATCCCTCCCTCCCTCGCTCCGCCCTCCCTCGCTTCCTCCCTCACTCCCTCCTGCTCCTCCACCTCCTCCTCCTCCTCCACCTCCTCCTCCTGCTCCTCCTCCGCGTTCGCCTCCTCCCTCCCTGTGCCTTCTCGATAGCGCGTCGTCGCCTGGCCACCAGACGCGTTAGTAGGGCGGGCCGGGCGTTTCGCCCGAGACGTCCTCGAGGTTGATGTCCCGGAAGCTCGAACTTTCGAGCAACTGCAGGGACGGAGGGCGGGCCGCGTTCAGAAGGAAGCTCTGCCCTTAGCGCCGCGCGCATTCGCCTTGAAGCCTTGCAGCAATTTCACGGACGGAACGGGGGTGGTTTTCACAACGGGGCCCTCGCCACAGTGGGGCCCTCGCCTTTGGCGCAGCGCGCAATCGTCTCAAACGTGAACGGGAGTTACAAGGGTGGAGGGCGCGTGTTTTTGTTTCAGGGGGCTCTCGCCTGAGCGCCGCGCACACTCGTCTTGAACGACTTGCAGCAGCTACAGTGGTGGATGATGGCTCCTCTGTGACATACGGCTCTCGCGTGGTACTTTCTCCCAAACTCGGCGATTGACCAACTCAGCCGAGGTACCCACTGCGAGGACGGAGGGCGGTTCATCCTTTTCAGAGCGGAGTTCTCGCTCGAGACCTCCTCGAAGCTCATGGCCCGACGAGGGGGCCTGTGCAGAGGTCGCACGTGTGGGGGCGGCCCTTTCTCGAGGCGGGGATCGCGCTGGACGCCCCGCCGAACTGTATTCTAATACCTTTTCGCGCCCCTCTCCGCCGGCGAAGAGGATGCACGTCAGCCCTTTTGAAAAATTGTGCCCTCGCCTGACTGGCAGGCCCACGTGGTGCTGGTGCTTTGAACATGGGCGCCTCGCTGTGAGGAAGGGGCTTGGGACGGGAGGGCGTACTGCACTGCAACATCATTCGCGCGTCTTGTGCTTGCTCGGGTCCTCCTCCTCCTCCTCCTCCTTCCTCCTCCTCCCTCCCCCTTTCCTCCTTTGTCTTCTGCTTTGTCTCCTCCTGCACCTCCTCCTGCTCCTTCTGCCCTCCCTCGCCCAACTTCACGCCCCGCTCCATGCCATACTTTTTCTGCCGCCCCTCTCCGTTCCCCTCATGCTCCTCTCCCCCCCCGTCCCCGCCTCCCTCCCTACCCTCGCCCTTCCCCCGTCCTCTTCCTTCTTTCCCCCTTTTCCCCTCCTCCTCCTCCTCCTCCTCCTCCTCCTCCTCCTCCTCCTCCTCCTCCTCCTCCTCCTCCTCCTCCTCCTCCCCCCTACCTCCTCCTTGTGCCCCCTTCCTCGTGCCATCCTCCTTTATCCTCCCCCCCTCCCCCCTCCACGGTCCTTCCCTGCCTCGCACCCCCCTCTTTCCCTCTTCCTTCTGGTGTTCGGGGCCGTCAATCTCATCCTCATCCTCATCCTCCCTCCCTCCCTCCCCCTTTCCCTCCCTCCCCTTCCCTCCCTCCCTCCCCCCTTCCCCTCTCCCACCTGCACAGATGGTAGAGGCAGATTGAACATGAGCCAAACAGTCGCGGCCAACCACTAACATGCACCAGTGGGCCTCCTCAACAACGATTGACAAAAAGGTTCGCAACAGATCCAGTTCACCCAGTCGGAACGCCATAATCCAACAATCCAGCCCCCCGCGGTGCGGGGATTGGGGCATGATTGCACATCCTTGGCCCCCGCTTCTTGGGTGCCACGAGCAGGCGGCGCGCAGGCATAGGAACCCAGAACACGTCGGCACCGGGACGCTCGCTTGCACCGCCGGGGGTTCGGTGCCGTGCCTGCCCTGCCCCCCCCCGCCCTGCCCGGGAGCGCGCTCCGACCGGCATCTCGAGGCGAACCCGGCCGCGGCGACCGAGGCCCCTCCGGAGGCCCTCCGTCAGGGGCCAGACATGTTGGAAGCGCATCTCCCTCGTCGCCGTCCTCGTGCTCCTCGTGCTCCTCGTGCTCCTCGTCGTCGCCGTCGTCGTCTCCTTCCGCGTCGTTTTCGGTGCCCTCGCCGCCCCTGCGTTATTCTCGTCGTCCTCGTCGCCCCCCAGGCGCGCGGCAGGAGGCCTCCACGAACAGCCTGGCGTACTTCCTGCACTGGCGCGCGGTCGGTGTGGGCCTGCGCCGCTGGGGGCTGGAGGTGGGTGAGTCTGTGCGGAGGATCGGCATGGGCCCTCTTCGCTCGCGAATGCCGTCCCCAAGCAGATTGGCCTCTAGTCAGTGCGGGGGGGGCGCGAATGGTCTGGCTTCTTCCCTGCGCGTGCCTGGCTGGATGGAGGGCTCGGCCTCTGAGGGCAAATGCACGGGGACGATCTGGACACCCCCGGAACGCTCTCGGCGAGGCGCAGCTGCTGGAAAGCCTACCGACGCTGGGACACCGCCGAGAACCGACGAACAGATCCGCAAACCTAGAACCTTCGAGACCCCCAAACCTCGAACCCAACGTTGCACCATGCCGAGACGAGGACCTCTGAGCCCAATCCCACTACGGTCGGGAACTTCTGCTAAGCTTGTCGCGGCGGCGGCCCCAGCGACACGCTATGCCCTGCATGCGGATAGCGCGTCGCTCCGCTCCGCGGGGCGGGAGGTCGGGAAACGCTCGAGACGTTGACTTTCGCGGATTGGGACGTGGATGGCGTGTCGCGCCGAAGCGTGGTGGGCCAGAACCGGCGGCGTGACACGCTAACCCAAAGTTCCCGACCGTAGAACCTCGAACCCAACCTTTAGAGGCCTCCTAGATAAGGTTGGAGTAGATGGGGTCGGAGGGTCGCGCCGCATCGCCGATGCACCGGCAACGTCGGCGACGTATCGGTGCCGCTGGAGTGGGGAAGATCGGGCTCCCCATCGAGTCGCATCGCCGATGCATTGGCGATGCGGCGCGACCATTCGACCCCCTCTATTTTTCTTTCTCCTGTAGCCAGGTTATGACGCTACCCTCCTGCTCATGCTCACGCCATGGAAAACCGTTCCTTTGGAATCCCTGGTAACGATCATGCCATGGAAAACCATTCCTTTGGAGTCCCTGATAACGATCACGCCATGGAACATCGCGACCATTCGACCCCTTCTACTCTGACCCCATCTAGGAGCCTAGCACCCTGCCCCATGCCGAGACGAACCGCCCCTCGCGTTGCCCCTGAATGGCGGCTCCTGCAGGGGCCCGCCGCCCGCCCTGGTGCCGTGGCGCTCCCGCAGCGCCCGCGGCTGGCGGCCCGCGAGGACGGCGCCGTGCTCCTCGGCGCGGCGCCGCCGCCGCCGCTCTCCGCCGCCGCCGGCGTCGGCGCCGGCATCGTCGCTGGCGTCGGCGTCGTAATCGTCGTCGGCGTCGGCGCCAGCATCGTCGCTGGCGTCGGCGTCGTAATCGTCGTCGGCGTCGGCGTCGGCGTCGGCGTCGGCATCGGCATCGGCGTCGGAGTCGGCGTCGTCGTCGTCGTCGTCGTCGTCGTCGTCGTCGTCGACGACGGCGTCGGCGTCGGCGTCGGCGTCGGCGTCGGCGTCGGCCGGCTGGCGCCGCTGTCCGCCAGCGGCGTGCACTCGACGGCGGCGGCGGCGTCGACGATGACGGTGGCAACGGCGACGGTGACGACGACGGCGAGGCCGGCAAGGAGGAGGAGAGGAGGGAGGATGCAGGATCGCCTTGCCGGTGAGCCTCGCAAGAGCGCGATGGCGCGCACCCGAGTCGATCGGACGGCCGCGCGGGCTGCCGCCCTGTCGGGCGCTCGCGCGTGTTTTTTCTGACGCGCGCGCCCGCGGCAGAGCGCTGCCCGCTGGGCCAAGGCCAGTCTCGGGCGGCCAGCACCGTAAGCGCTGGGGGCTGCGGGCTTTTCCTCCCTCCTTTCACTCTTCCTTCTCCTTGGCCTCCTCGTCTTCTCCTCGCCCTTGTCCTCCTCCTCCTCATCGCCCTCGTCCTCCTCCTCCTTCTCCTCCTCCTCCTCCTCCTCCTCCTCCTCCCTCCTCCTCCTCCTCCTCCTCCTCCTCCTCCCCCTCCTCTTCCTCCTCCTCCTCGTTGCCCGCCCTCTTCGTTCCTCCTCGACACCTGCTCCTCTTCCTCCTCCTCCTCCTCGTTCTCGTCCTCGCCCTTCTCCTCCTCGCCCTCCACCTCCACCTCCTCCAGCTCCCACCCCTCCTCCCACCGACGGTAGATGAAGAGCCAGCCGTTGCATGTTGAACATTACTCCTTGCAAGTATAACCTGTACTACGAACTTGCATGCACGCAGGTTAGCACTGCTTTGGTTTGCCGTATTCATTCTCATGATGGTGATGGTGCTGACGGAGATGGCGGCGATGATGGTGATTGAGATGGCGGTGATGATGAGCAGGAGGTGCCGATGGTTGCGATGATAGTGGTGATGGTGGTGACGATGATGGTGATAATGGTGTTTTTGATGATTATGGTGATGTGTTTCTCTACTTTGGTGGTGATGGTGATTATGTTTTTCGCTTGGCGGTGATGGTGCTGATGGTTCTTCTGTTTTTTGCACTTATCAAATTTATAGCAACTCACGCCAGTGGCCCTGGCTGATGGCCTCGCCATTGGGCCACTAGGCTGCTATGGGAGCCCTCGCACCCCAGTGGCCCTGGCTGATTGCCTTGCCACTGGGGTGTGGGCCAGCGGCCTCACTGGGAAAGCAGCGGCGCCTTGGGCAAAGACGGCGGCGCCTTGGGCCCGTGCGTGCCGATAAACATGCCGATGACCGCGGGGTCGAAGAGAACCTCGGGCGGTGGGTGCTTCGGCTGAAGCACCCTGAATGGCGGATCCGCATTCCTGGCCACGGGCGCCGGGACGACGTCGGGCGGCGGCACCTGGAAAATCGTCGTCCTCATCGCCCGCATCGTCGTCGTCGTCGTCGCCGGGCAAGTCGGAGTCGTCGGAAGCGAAATCGTCGGAGGCGGAGGCGGGCGGCGGCGGAGAAGACGGAGTCGGAGTCGGAGTCGGAGTCGGAGTCGGAGTCGGGGTCGTCGTCGTCGTCGTCGTCGTCGTCGTCGTCGTCGTCGTCGTCGTCGTCGTCGTCATCGTCGTCGTCGTATTCGTCGCCGTCTTCGTTCAGGAGGCGGAGTTGGAGTCGCATTTGTCGTCGTCGTCGTTGTCGTCCTCGTGGGCGGCACCCTGGTCCCAGTGATCTTCGGCGGCGCCTTGAACGGCGCCTTGGTGAATAGCGCCTTGGACGCCGTGACTGCGGACATTGTAGACGGCGCCTTGGACGTCGTGGCCGCGGGCGCCGATGCTGCGGCACCAGCAGGGGCGCCTATGCGGTACCC